AATAAAGCCATTTTAAATTAAAACTGCTATAGATCCTGCAATCCCTTTCCTGGGTATAAATCCAAATGTATGAAATCTCTGTGTGGAGAGAGATGGCACCCCATGAATCATACAGAAATCCTCACAAATAGTGCCAAAGTACCCATCAGCAGACAGATGAGTGAGTATGTGCTATCCATATAAAATATATTTCTAGGTTGCTATGTGGGCATGAGGCTTCCTGATAAGTTTGTGGAAAAACAAGATTTACACAAATTAATATCACATATAGAATTTCATTTATCTATTTATTTTTGACACATAGCAATGAGAAGAAAGGAAGAGAGAGAGAGAGAGAGAGAGAGAAAATCTTTCATCTGCTGGTTCCCTTCCAAATGGCTGAATGGCTGGGGCTTGTCAAGGCAGAAGTCAGGAGCCTGGATTTCCATGGAGGGTTATTGCATGATTAATACGGGCACATGAACTTGGATCATCATCTGATGCTTTGGCAGGCATAGTGGAAGGGAGCTGAATCAGAAGCAGAGCAGCCTGAACTTGAATGCACATCCCTTTATTCAATGATGCTGTTCCAAAATGGGGCTTAAATCACAGTGCCGCAATGTGGCCTGCCCTGTTACAATTTTTGAATCTATGCAGATATTTTTCAGAATGCATGTGTTCCACAGACTCGTTTTAACCCTCACTAATTAAATAATTTATAGACCAGGGGAGAGAGAGAGGTGGGAGAAAGCAAGGGATTCACACAGAGACAGAGGGACAGAGAGGTCACATCTGCTGGTTCATTGTCTTAAGCCTCTTCAGTTAGAGTTGGGACATTGACTCCAGGAGCTGAAATCTCAATCTAGGTTTCTCATGAGAATGGCAGGGTTTCAAATACCTGAGTGTTCATTTCTTTGAAGAATTATTTATTTTATTTGAAAGGCAGAGTTACAAAGAGACAAAGGCAGAAACAGAGAGAGAAAGACAGAGAGAGAGAGACAGAGAGAGGGAGATCAACCATCAGCTGGCTCACTCCCCAAATGGCCATAGGTTGGCTGATCCAAAGCCAAGGAGACAGGAGCTTCTTCTGGGTCTCCCATGAGGGTTCAGAGGCCCAAGTCCTTGGGCCATCCTCTGCTACTTTCCCCGGTGAACAAGCAGAGAGCTGGTTCAGAAGTGGAGCAGCTGGGACTCAGGCAGTGGCTATACCTGCTATGCCACAGTGCTGAAATGGAGTTGACACTTCTGTAGGCCAGGACATGCATCAGCAGGAAGTTATAATCAGGGGTCTGATTGGACTAGAAACCAGGCACCCTGAAATGAGCTGTACGTTTCTAATCTCCTGGTTTAACTTCTAGGTGAGATATCAGCCACATAAATGCTTTGAAGTCCCTTGAATTTACAAATACACACACACAGGAAAACAAAGTAGGAAGTCACAGAGCAATAAGGTGAGATCATGGCCCAGGTTTCCTCCTCAGCCATACTGTGGGTGCTGAGCCCCACTGCAGAGCATCGGGGGCTCCCAGGGTGAATGGGAGAATAAGTCTGGGGTTAGATACCCATCCCATACAGCTGGACATTCTGCTGCCCAGGTGCCCAGGAATTAATGGCCGACAAGGTTTTTTTTTTTCCTTTAGGGATTTCTTTAATATTTGCAAGTCAGAGTTACACAGAGAGAGGAGAGAGAGAGAGTGGAGAGAGAGAGAGAGAGAGAGAGAAGAGAAGACAGAGAGAGAGGTATTGCATCCAATGGTTTACTCCCCAATTGGCCACATGGCCCAGATATGGGACTATCTGAAGCCAGGAGCCAGAAGTTTCTTCTGGGTCTCCCACATGGGTATAGGGGCCCAAGGACTTTGGCCATCTTTTGCTGCTTTCCCAGGTCACAGCAGAGAGCTGGATAGGAAATGGAGCAGCCAGGTCTTGAAACAGTGCCCATATGGGATGCTGGTGCTTCAGGCCAGGGTTTGAACCAGCTGAGCCACAGCACCAAGCCTGCACTGAATAGGTTTTTTTCTTTGTTTGTTTTTTACAGGTAGAGTTAGGCAGTGAGAGACAGAGAAAAAGGTCTTCCTTTAACATTGGTTCACCCCCCACATGGCCGCTATGGCCGTCACGCTGGGGCCAGTGTGCTACGCTGATCTGAAACCAGGAGCCTGGTTCTTCCTCCTGGTCTCCCATGCAGGTGCAGAGCCCAAGCCTTTGGGCCATCCTCCACTGCCTTACCAGACCACAGAGGAGAGCTGGACTGGAAGAGGAGCAATGGGAAGGATCTGGAGCCCCAACTGGTACTAGAACCCGGAGTGCCTGCGTTGCAGATGGAGGATTAGCCAAGTCAGCTAAGGTGCGTGGCCTGATGGATTTAAACAACTGTAACCATATCTTGAGGTCAATAAATATCCTTTCAAGAACACAAGCATAGAGAGCAGTGGCCTTAAAACCAAAAACAAACGAACAACAGCAACAAAAAACCACAGAAGCATTTTTACATTTTACAGACTTAAATGTAGTCTCCATCAAAACTCATCAAAATAAGCTGACTAGACATATATGAAACTGTGAAGTAATTTTTTTAAACAGTCAGGGAGCTGAGAAATGTATCTCAGTACAAATATATTAAACCTCATAACTGTTAAAGAGTAATAGCTGCCATACTTAAGGACTGACAAAATTCAAGAGCAAAAATTTGCCTATTTGGCATCAGTGACGTGCCCTCACGTGTGTTTTTCCTGATAAGACTTATGAATGTCTAACTGGTATCTGAAAAGGTATCAACATCACTCATCATCTGGGAGAGGCAAATTAGAACTACAGACAGTTTGTCACACTTCTTAAAATGGATGCCTCTTTATTTATTTTTAGAAAGACACATTAGTGTATTTAAGAGTCGGGGAGAGAGAGCGAGGGAGGGAGGGAGGAGAGAGAGAGAGAGAGAGAGAGAGAGAGAGAAAGAAAGAAATAGATCAGGCAGAATGACCAAGTTAGAAAGAGACAGCTGGAGGTCTTGCACATAATCACTCATTCCTCCAAGTTCCGGCCCCAGCTGTGGCTGGGTTGGGCAGAAGTGGGAGCCAGGGATTCTTCAGGGATGCATGCATGGCAGGGATCCAAGATTTGACCAGCGTCAGCTGCCTTGCAGATGCATTCCCAGGAAGCTTGATTGGAAGGGGAGTGTCCGGGACTCCAAGGGGCCCACTGCAGTGGATTGGGGCATCACATTCCACAGCCTCACCTGCTGCATCATGAATCCCACCCCAGGTGATATTTTAAAATGTCAAAAACTGCTATAAATCGCCATCTTTGCATTGTTGTGGGGTCCAGCTCCCCACTCATCCACCGCCTCAGCTGCCGTGGAATCCCGCAGCTTGGGCCCCAGTCTCTGCACTCTCGCCATGTCAAACCAGACCAGCCTGCCCTAAATCCGCTCTCAGATCACCACCAAGGACTTACAGAGAACAAGGACGTCCTGGACGAGGCTGGCGACTGAAGAGACGCCCTGCCAAATGGGAGCGCTCATGAGGACAAGGGGGAGTAGGAGGCACACAAGGAGGTAGAGGAAGAAGGTAGAGAGGAGGAGGGCATTGAGGAAGAGGGCCATGGAGAGGAAGAGGATGGAGACGAGGGTGAGGAGGCCGAGGCAGCTCCAGGAAACAGGCACCTGAAGATTTTGAAGATGTCTCAACTGCAGAAAAGGAAAACTAAAACATAAAAAATAAGTAAATAAAAGGCAGCAGTGACCTAGTCCTCTTCCACTTCTGGTCTCAGAATCTCAACGTGATCACTTTGGAGCAGAGGCCACCGCCGCCCGCGGCAGCGCCTCCTATCGACGACACGCTCTCTGCACCTCCCAACGAAGATCAAGTGTGTTTGCAACAGGGTAGGGGAAAAAAAAAATTCAGCTCTGCTTTTATCTGAAAAGTACTTCAGAAAGGAAAGTTCCTTTGTATTTTTACTTTTTTTATGATTTGTATTTTTGTTCATATTGTTAGGGAGCATCCACTTTTAATGATCTTGGGATGAAAAACCAGCCTGCAGGGTGTTCTCTGTATGCTTCTGACTGTACTTGTGTTGTGACCATATTCATTTACATTTCAGATGAGAAAAAAAAACTGTAAAAGAGCAAAATCAACAACAGAAAATCTTGCATCAAGCGTTCCTTTTTTTATTGTTTGTTTGTACTTAGCTGTACAGTAAGTTTTTGGTTTGTTTGGTAGAGTGGGCTAAGCATCTGCTTGTGGTGCCAGAATCCCATCTGCACGCTAGGTTCGAGTCCCACATACCCCTCTTCTAATCCACCTCTCTGCTACGGCCCTGGAGTGCATTAGAATGGGGCCCCAAAGCAAAGACGCTTGCACCTGCATGGGAGAGATGGGAGAAACTCCTGGCTCTCAGCTACAGCTCTTTAGGCCATTTCCAGAGGAACCAGCAGAATGAAGACCTTTCTCTCTGTCTCTCCCTCTGTCTGTAACTCTGTCTCTCAAATAAAAAAATTCCCCCACCATAAGCCAAAGATTGTTCTTTTTATCTTTTTTTGTCTATGAAGTTTCTGTTTACTTTTTGCTTTTGGTCTTCGATGGAATTTTGAAACATGTTATCCAACAATAAAGCAGAATTTTTATTTTATTTTGTGGGGAAACTCAGTCATACTGTACCTCTCTTTTGATGTAGGATCAAAGCCCAGTCCACATGAGGAGAAGTCCCAGGAAAGGAAGCTCAGAGGCAGAAGCAGCATTGCCAGAGCAGGTCAGTTCAGACTCACCCGGAGCGAGAAGGTCATAGGGTGCTGTGGCACAGTCTTCTCTGGGAGACAGGGGCCCTGAGAGCAGATGGGTCAGCAGCACCTCAGAGATGCTGGGGTACGGGGACCAGAGGGGAAGGGAGCACTGGTAGGAGGCGCTGCTCCCTGTGTCCTGGGTAGACCTGGGCTGTGGCTGTGCCTTTGGAGGCAGGCACTCCAACTCCCTGTGTTTTGCAGAATCAGAGTCCAGCTGTGACGGGCGAGCTCCAGCAAGAGGACAATGAGTTCTGAGGACAGCAGCCACACGGGGACAGGTAGCATCGTGCTTTCTCTCCCTAGAGGGTCAGGACCTGGGAGCTTATCCAAGGTTGGGAAGGGAGGGGTTGTCAGAGATTGAGAGCAGTTTCGAGATCCCAAGAGCGTGTGAGGGGGAGGGTGGGTGCTGCCTGGGTTCCTGCTGGAGTCCATTGTGGGGAAGGAAGTGCAGGATTCGGTGGGGTTCACGTGAAGGGGGCAGGACTTAGGTTTTAGGGCCCAAGGAGCTGTGCTGAGTGTCTCCCGTGTGTCTCTGCAGGCAGCTGTGTGCAAGAGCTCAGCGTGACTTTGCAAAAGAAAGCAAAACCTTCGGACGATGGAAATGACAGAGGAATTCAGGAGGCGCATGCGGAACCTCGCAGGGGATCCTCCAGGGCCCGCTCTGGGCACAAGAGGAGGCGCAGGTCCAGGTCCCCAGCAGACCACCCACCGCCCCTTCGGAAGAGCCTGGTGACCTCCCTGCGCTCTCTGTCTGAGGCCATTTATGAAGATTTAGCCCGGGTGCAGGCGCAGCAGGCGCAGTTCCCGCTGGCCCAGGAGCAGCTGTTTGCGCTGGCACAGCTCCACGGTCCTCTGTGCAGCGCCATGCAGAGCTGCTATGCGCTGGCCTCTCAGGCAGCCTGGGCCTTCCCTGCCCAGGGCTGGCTCCTCCCGGCCCCGGTCCTGGCCTCGGCCCCGGAGCACATGCCTGCTGTCCAGTCGCGGGCACCTGCTCAGAGCTCCTCCCAGGAGGGGCAAGGCCAGCCCTCTGCTGAGCAGGAAGAACCTGAGGCACACAGGGCATCAGACTAATCTTGTGCTGGGGAGCCCGCATGGTGGACACTAGAGGGCGCATCTCTGACACACAGAAAGACTTGCTGCTGCTACTTCTCCTCAAGCCCAGCAGAGACCCTGTAGTGGGGATGAGCTGATGCCTGAGGGAATCTGGGTGGCCATAGGAAAGGAACTGGAGCCACTTCCTCGGAATCAGGAACCTGTTCTTTCTTTGAGGATGTCATGACAGAAGAATGTCGGTTTTCACATTACCAATCTGGAATCCTTGCTAACTGACTTGAATTTTTAAATGAAGCACATATTAAGAGGTCATCATTGACACTTGTGCATTTTTGTCAATGTAAATTTTCTACCTGGAGAAGTTCTGGGTAGGTGGGAGGAGCAGTGCCCAGGAGGACTCTGAGCGGAGATGAGAGGGTGGTCATGCGTTTAAAAGTGCATTAGAAAGTATGTCCCTTTGTTTTATTTTTACGTTTTCTATTTTTGTGAATATTGGTAGGGGTTAGCCAATTTTAATGATCTTGGGATGACCAAACTAGCCTTCAACTTGTTTTCGGTATGCTTTTTCTGTACTTGTGGTGTGAATTCTTCATTAACATATCAAAGGAGAAAAAAATCTTTGTAAAATAGCTAAAGCAACATCAGAAAACCTTGTGTTTATCATTCGTTTTATTTTTTTTTGTATGTACTTAGCTGTACTGTAAGCAGTTGTTTAGTATGAGATAGTTAAAAAGGCCAAAGGTAGGGGCCAGCAATGTGGTAATGTGGGCTAAGTGTCTGCCTGTTGTGCCAGAATACCATATGGGTACCAGTTGGAGTCCCAGATGCCCCTCTTCTAAACCAGCTCTCTGCTTTGGCCTGGAAAAGCAGTAGAACATAGCCCAGATGCTTGGGCCTCTTCACCTGCATGGGAGACCTGCAAGAAACTTCTGGTTCTCAGCTACTGCCATTTAGACCATTTCCTGAGGGACCAGCAGGGGGAATCTTTCTGTTTCTCCCTCTGTCTGTCTATAATTCTGTCATCAAATAAATAAATAAAATCCCCTCCACACAAAAGCCAAAGGTTTCCCTTGTTTTGTCTATGTAGTTGTCGTTGAGTTTTTTATTTTTCACATTCTTGACATATGTGTGAAACATTTTATCTTAAAATAACTGGAATTTTATTTTGCTGAGTTGTTCTAAAATAAAAGATAAGATGTGTAGACAAGGATGTGTGTAGAAGTGGACATTTATCCAGTGTTGCTGGAATATATGTTACTACAGCCATTGCAGAAAATGATGTAATTGTTTTACCAAAAATAAAAAATTAGATTTCCTCAGAATATTATACAAATAATTATCAAATAGATAAAACAATTTTAAATAACAACTATTATAAATGCTACAATCCCTATTCTGGGTACAAATGCAAAGGAAATGAAATCCCTTTGTAGAGAGAGATGTCACCCCATGTTTAGTACAGCAATGCTCACCAGTAGTGCCAATGTATGGAAACAGTTTTAGTACAGAAGAGTGTGCTATCCATATGAAATATTATGTTTCTATATTAAATGTGTGCATGAGGATACTTCATAAGCTTTATGGAAAAGTAAGATTCACACAAATGAATTTCATATATAGATTTTCATTTCTTTATTTAAATATATTGATTTCTTGTCATATAGTGATGGGGAGAAAGAAAGAAAAGAGAGAGAGAGAGAGAGAAAGAGAGAAAATTTCATCTGCTGCTTCCCTTCCAAAATGGTCGAATTGCTGGGGTGTGTCAAGGCAGAAATCAGGAGCCTGAAATTCCATCCAGAGGGACAGAGAGGTCATATCTGCTGGTTCATGCTCAAAAGCCTTTTAGAAAGAGATGGGACATATAGATTCCAGTAGTTGAAATATCAAACTAGATTGCTCATGAGAGTGGCAGGGTTTCAACTACCTTCTTTTAAGATTTATTGATTTTATTTGAAAGGCAGAGTTAGAGAGAGACAAAGGCAGAGGAGATTGAGAGAGAGGGAGAGAGAGAGAGAGAGAGAGAGATCAACCATCAGCTGGCTCACTCCCCAAATAACCTATAAAAGCTCAGAGGCCCAAGTACTTTGCTGGAATGTTTGTTACTACAGCCATTGCAGAAAACGATGGAGAGGTTTTACCCAAAATAAATTTAGCTTTCCTCAGAATATGATAGCAAACAATTATGAGAGTATAAAGCAATTTTAAATTAAAACTGGTACAGATCCTACAATCCCTCTCCTGGGTAGAAATCCAAAGAAACCAAATCTCTTTGTAGAGAGAGATGGAACCACATGTATAGTACAGCAATGCTCACTAGTAGTCCCAGTGTATGGAAAGAGTGTAAGTACCCATTGACAGATGGATGAGTCCGGATGTGTGATCCATTTGAAATAGTATATTTCTATGTGACATTGTATGCATGAGGCTACTTCATAGGTTTATGGAAAAACAGATTCACACAAATTAATTTCCTATGTAGAATTTCATTTCTTTCTTTCTTTAATTTATTTATTGAAACAGCGATGGGGAGAAAGGGAGAAAGAGAGAGAGAGAGAGGGAGAGAGAGTGAAGGAGAGAAAGAGAAAATTTTTCATCTGCTGGTTCCCTTCCCAAATGGCTGAATGGATGGAGCTTGTCAAGGCAGAAATGGATGAAGCTGGGAACCGAAGAGAGGCCCCTGCCAAATAGGAGTGCTCATGAGAACAATGGGGAGTAGGAGGCACACAAGGAAATAGAGGAAGAAGGTGGAGAGGTGGAGGATGTGGAGGAAGAGGGCCATGGAGAGCAAGAGGATGGAGACGTGGGGAGGAGGCCGAGGCAGCTCCAGGAAACGGGCACCTGAAAATCCTAAAGATTACTCGACAGCAGAAAAGGAAAACTAAAACATAAAAAATAAGTAAATAAAAGGCAGCAGTGACCTAGTCCTCTTCCACTTCTGGTCTCAGAATCTCAACGTGATCACTTTGGAGCAGAGGCCACCGCCGCCCGCGGCAGCGCCCCTGCCGACGATGCGCTCTCTGCACCTCCCAACCAAGATCAAGTGTGTTTGCAACAGGGGAGGGAAAAAAAATTAGCTATGGTTTTATCTGAAAAGTACTTCATGAGGTAAAGTTTGTATGTATTTTCCCTTTTTCACGATTTGTATTTGTGTACATATTGGTAGGGAGCATCCATTTTTAATGATCTTGGAATGAAAACCAGCATGCAGGGTGTTCTCTGTATGCTTCTGACTGTACTTGTGTTGTGACCATATTCATTTACATTTCAGAGGAGAAAAAAAAACTGTAAAAGAGCAAAATCAACAACAGCAGAAAATCTTGCATCAAGCGTTCCTCTAACTTTTTTTTTTGTTTGTACTTAACTGTACAGTTAGCTTTTGGTTTGTTTGGTAGAGTGGGCTAAGCATATGCTTGTGGTGCCAGAATCCCATTAGCATGCCAGTTTCGAGTCCCACATACCCCTCTTCTAGGCAAGCTCTCTGCTACAGGGGCCCCAAATCTCAGACCCTTGCACCTGCATGGGAGAGATGGGAGAAACTCCTGGCTCTCAGCTACAGCTGTTTAGGCCATTTCCAGAAGAACCAGCAGAATGAAGACCTTTCTCTCTGTCTCTCCCTCTATCTGTAACTCTCTCTCAAATAAAAAAAATTCCCCCACCATAAGCCAAAGGATTGTTCTTTTTTTGTCCATGAAGTTTCTGTTTACTTTTTGCTTTTGGTGTTTGATGGACTTGTGAACCATGTTATCCAACAAGAAACCAGAATTTTATTTTGCTGAGTTGTTCTAAAAAAAAGATAAGACATGTAGACCAGGATGTGGGTAGAAGAGGACACTTATCCAGTGTTGCTGGAATATGTGTTACTACATCCATTATGGAAAACAATGGAGAGGTTTTATCCAAATTAAAATTTAGCTTTCCTCAGAATAGTATAACAAATAATTATCAAAGGAATAAAGCAACTTTAAATTAAAACTGCTATAGATCCTGCAATCCCTATCCTGGGTATAAATCCAAATGAATGAAATCTCTGCGTAGAGAGAGAAGGCACCCCATGAATAATTGTACAGCAATGCTGACTCATAGTGCCAATGTATGGAAACAGTGTAAGTACCCATAGGCAGACAGATGAGTGAGTATGTGCTGTGCATATGAAATATTATATTTCTAGGTTGCTATGTGGCCATGAGGCTTTCTCATAAGTTTATGGAAAAACAAGTTACACAAATTAATTTCATATATAGAATTTCATTTATCTATTTATTTTTTGACACATAGTGATGAGAAGAAAGGAAGAGAGAGAGAGAGAGAGAGAGAGAGAGAAAATCTTTCATCTGCTGGTTCCCTTCCAAATGGCTGAATGGCTGGGGCTTGTCAAGGCAGAAGTCAGGAGCCTGGAATTCCATGGAGGGCGATTACATGATTAATACGGGCGCATGAACTTGGATCATATTCTGATGCTTTGGCAGGCATAATAGAAGTGCACTGAATCAGAAGCAGAGCAGCCAGAAGTTGAATCCACATCCCTTTATTCAATGATGCTGTTCCAAAATGGGGCTTAACAGGTGCTAAGAGAGAAAAATTGCCAGCCCAGAATATTATATGCTGCCAAACTCTCATTTGTGAATGAAGTTGAAATAAAGAACTTTCATAGCAAACAGAAATTGAAAGACTTTGCTGCCACTCGTCCGGTCCTGCAAAAGATACTTAAAGATGTGCTACACTCAGAAACACAGAAACACGGCCATCAATATGAAAGAAGGTAATGGAAGAACACCTACCAGTAAAAGAGCATGGGAAGCTCAAAGCATATACTAGAAAATATCTCCGGGAAAATGGCAGGGCAAAGTCAGTATGTATCAATAGTCACATTAAACACTAATGGACTTAACTCTTCAGTTAAAAGACACCAATTGGCTGATTGTCATAAGGTCAAAATCCAACTATTTGTTGCCTACAAGAAACACATCTCTTTAACAAAGATGCATGCAGACTGAAAGTGAAAGGTTGGAAAAAGATAT